CATCGTCGATTTCTAAAAGTGCTTCTTTTAATAATTGCGTATACATAAACGATGGATCGATACCATTAAAACTGATCGAGATCAAATCTCGATCACAATTTTCACGATCAATTTGTAAGGCCTTACGAATCGATTTGATTTTGGTATGTACACCCTTTACTTTGGATATTTTGTTGACCCATTGTTCATGGACCACTTGGTTATGACAGAGTACATAAACCGACTCCAATTGTGGCCATTCTTCAATTTTGGGTACTATTTGCTGACCCAAGGAGTCAGATACAATCAAAAATACCTTTTCTTTTTTAATTTCATTGAGGAAATTAATACATTCTTGAGCATCTGTAAATGTTTCAATGGTTGCTACAACACGTCGCAGACGGCGAAGCGATTTCTTGAAATCATCTTTGGACTCATCCAAATTGGCATCAAGCCATACCAGCAGGAAATTTTGAAGCACTCGACGCACAGGTCGGGGCAGCACAGCTGCAGCACGATTGTTCGCATTGGTGATAGTGGTGGTGGTAGGTATCATTGCTGCACCATTGATAACAGTTGTTGTCGGTTTTTGTTTGCTCATAGTGGCTGAATGAATGAATACAATTAGTGAAACGTCGTCTCCCTATATTTATATAATTGTTAATTTTTTTTGGTCGACACGATTTCTTTTCTGAGTTGTTGCTACAGGCTTCAAAGACCTCTATTATCTCGATCGTTTTTGTTTTCAAGAATGCTATTGACAGAATAACGATAATGGATAGATGCAGTCTCCGTATAGCAGACCAGAAGCAAAGAACAACGGCCAAGTAAACAAAAAACTTGCAAAAGATGTGCGACATGACTAGTCTGCCATATTGACAATACTCGTCGTGAATAATTATTCTGACAAGAAAAGTTCTGCATCTACGTCTGGACTAGTCCAGAAGATCCTTGAATCCCGACATGTCTAGTTCGTTTGTCTATATAACCTGTCCAGATCAGTCTGTAGAACAGAAAAAGGGTAAAATATGCAGACAACAGATGGGTTCGAACATCTGGCATATCTATATTCAACACTTGATAGGTGTTCTGACGCTACATTATGTTTTACGAATAGACTGATGTTAGCTTTGATAGTCTAAATAGCAGACAGATACCAGGTGATCAATGATGAATGGCCGCACTTTGCATTTTATATTTACATCTCTGAGTAAGTATCATCAAAAAACAAAATATACCACAAGACGCAGCGTGAAAAGTTCTACAATTTACACAATGGAACTTATTATAATTATTTTCAAAAACTGCAAAATTCTCTGCGATCAATTTTTGGACGGTCAAAATTTGATCGCTCCGAATTTTGCTGATTTTGACAGCAAAAAAGTGCAACTGTAAGAAAAGCAGTCGTATGTAAATTGTAGAGCTTTTCACGCTGCATCTTGTGGTATATATTTTTTTTTGTTGATACTTATTTAGAGATGAAAATATGAAATGCAAAATGCGGCCATTCATTATTGGTCACCCAGTACTTATCCATTTGCTAGATAATCAAAACTGGCTCAGAACAAGTGAGGAATGAGTGCGTGAGTGTTCGTAAAGAAAAGACCCACACATATCCTAAAATAATATGAATATTTTTTCATGCGTCATAATTTCATTTAACTTTAAATATGGATTCTGATTAATTTAATTTAAGAATAAATTGAGATTGTACGAATTTATTCTAGTTCTAACTTTAAAAAGGATTAACTTAATTTAAAATAGAATAATATCATGATGCATATATACATTATTTTCTCTTCAATTTAAAAAATTATTTATATATGTTATACATAGTATTTGTTCGCATTCATTAATTTTTAGTAAAACGTGATGAAAATAATTTTTCAATTAAAAAAACAGTCTCGTTTGAGCTTATACACGTAAATTGGTATTAGAATAGAAATTTAAACAAATATTGAGATGTGGAAGTTGAGTTTTCGGTCATACGACCCAATTATCACCTCATAATATACTTAGATTTAGACTCGGTTGAACTAGTCTAGTGAATCTCACTATAGCGTGTTATGTCAAACCAATCTATCTAGTCTTCGTTTCAAAAAGGCTTCGTCCAGAGCTGCTCTGCATTTTTGATAATAATTTGATATCTCATCGACACAAAAGTAGCCCTACGTCGGCCTTTCGCTCGAATAAGACTAGATAATATATTTGTGCTAATGCTCGTTGATGACATATTTAGAACGGAGTTCAAGAACACACTAGATCTTTGATTAGTCCTCATTTAGGACTGTTTTGAGAAAAAGACTGGACAGATCTAACCGAAACAGCTAGAAAGATTGAAATATATTAGTAAGTGGAATAGATTTGGAACACATAATTTTCATATAAGACAAAAATGGGAAACAATCTGACTTTAATCGATATTTTCTTCTTTTTTCTACATCAGAAAAGACTATTTTGTTTTGTTTCCCCTTATCGTTTATAAATTAGTACAAAAGTATATAAAATCAAATAAAATCGTGCTGAAGTCAGTTATATGGAGATTGACACCATTATACTATGGTGAAACAAAACCCAAATGACAATCGATTCTAATTTTGATCATGCTTATAGTTTGTCAATAATAAGAGCATAATTTACATTCATTTTCTATTGGTACTATGATATGAAAGCATTCGATCACTAGGCGGTCAAACATCCTGACCTTATGAAAGATAATAGCTGCCTGCTCATTCTGACCTCTATTCATTATATCCTTTCTTCTGATTTCTAGTATATAAGCTTGTGTTCTATGTGAAGCCGACGCAACTGAAGTGACGAAGTACTGTGACTGTGACGAATACCTAATCAAGAGTGATAGTAACGCTACTCTTCCAGTTTGTTATTATTGATCACATTAAAATACATACTGCAATAGTAACGAAATAGAATATCATTTCTCTGTCTCTCATTTTCATTACATACAAGATTTTGAAATTTTAGTCGACTGTAATCGTTGAAAGTTTTTACTCAGTACTATTCAAAATTAAATAAAAATCGACTCAATTTCATCGGTCTGAATACTTTCTTCATGAGAGCTTTTATTCAGAAAGACAAGCATGTCAATCGATTGAGTTCATTCCATTGTTGTAGTCATTTTGGTCGATGTTTATACAGAAGAGTGAATAGGTTGTCTTTTGTGAAAAATCAGGAGGCTTCTTCTATTCTATGAATAAGGAAGGACTTTCTACTTTTATATTTCAATACTAGATTTTAATTCAGTATATCGAGATTCAATTAGCTTTTTTTCATACATCTATATTATCGAAAAAACTCCAATACAAGTTCTTGAATTCACTGCTATGTTATCTTTCTAAAAGTAAAAATCACATCTTCAATTCTTGATGCTCGCGGTGAAATGTATGAGTATGATACGTTATTCTGTGTACCGTGGTTTACAATAAGACTTTTATACATACGAGTTTCTGCGAACAAAACAATCGATTTCATATTCTGAGTATCATCAAGCGGAGCTCACTTAAAACTACTTTATACTCATCAAAATACCATATGTCAATGTCCCATCGTTTTTTCTAGTTTGTAGCAACTCTTTACTGTTAACTTTAATTTTATTACTACTCTAATAATGTTAGAAATTAAATATACATACTTACGTGTTATGTGATACTGAAGTGTAACGGGCTTTTTGTGTGTGTGTGTAGTCGATTTTATTCTGTACTTATCACTGACAAAATTACTTGGTTTTTTTTTCCACAAACGTACATATACATGAATCAATGAAGCATGACTTTTTTATCATATAGACGGTTTTTTTTATTCATGTGCTCATCATCACATGCATTTCGTTTTTTATATATCCTACCTATCCTTTTCTTACTTCAGCTTTGCATTTCGTATTGTTGTGTTGATAAAATATACAATGATATTTGCATACACATAAATTTGAGTCATAATGATTCATTGGACTTTGAGCTTTATTCTAATCTATATAAATACTTTCTATTGTAAAATCTTTTTTTGAAACTGATAATCATACAAGCAGTGTTGAAAGCTTCTAAATAAATAAATAAAAAAATTTCATATTTTTTATTTTATCTTTTGGTTTATGAAAAACTCTATTTACCACTCAAAATTTATTAGGTGCATCCGAAGAAAGTATGGTGAATATAATTTAAGAAGACTCAGAAGTGAAGAAATTTCAACGACAACTACTCTCTGTTGAATACTCAGAAAAACAAAGGAGTCTAATTAAATTGAGAAAAAAAAACTAAATCATATTGAATTTGATGGAGTTTTTAACATTTTATCACCTCATCATCCTTATAAAATTAAATTATATCTACTTGGCAAAGAACAAGCGAAAAATAACTAAACCCAAGAATATACATAAGATAGAAATTTCTATGTTACTTAATGTTGCAGATGATCATACTAAAGCTCTTCTCCTCCGTCTGGACACATAAGTTTATAATTGATTGTCAAAATTACAGAGTATTTCACAATTGAAATTACGTAGCAGCAGTTGG